GTACCGTCTGGTAATGTAGTAACAAAGGTAGTAGTGTAGTCGGTACATTCTGGACAATCACCGAAGATGTCAGTGGTAGTATATAAGTCACCATCGGAATCGGTGGTAATAATGACCTCACCAGTAGCAGTTGAGACAGTACCGTCTGGTAATGTAGTAACAAAAGTAGTGGTGTAATCAGTACATTCTGGACAATCACCGAAGATGTCAGTGGTAGTGTATAAGTCACCATCGGAATCGGTGGTAATAATGACCTCACCAGTAGCAGTTGAGACAGTACCGTCTGGTAATGTGGTAACAAAAGTAGTGGTGTAATCAGTACATTCTGGACAGTCACCGAAGATGTCGGTAGTAGTGTACAAGTCACCATCGGAGTCGGTGGTGATAATGACTTCACCAGTAGCAGTGGAAACAGTACCGTCTGGTAAGGTTGTAACAAAAGTAGTGGTGTAATCAGTACATTCTGGACAATCACCGAAGATATCAGTTGTAGTGTATAATTCACCATCTGAATCAGTAGTAATGATAACTTCACCAGTAGCAGTAGAAACAGTACCGTCTGGTAATGTAGTAACAAAGGTAGTAGTGTAGTCGGTACATTCTGGACAGTCACCTAAGATATCGGTAGTGGTGGTTAAGTCACCGTCTGAGTCAGTAGTGACGATAACAACACCAGTTTCAGTAACTGGGTCACCGTTTTCATCAGTGGTAGTGATAGTGGTAGTGTATTCGGTACATTCTGGACAGTCACCTAAGATATCAGTAGTAGTAGTCAAGTCACCGTCTGAGTCAGTAGTAACAATAACAACACCAGTTTCGGTAACTGGGTCACCGTTTTCATCAGTGGTAGTGATGGTGGTAGTGTACTCAGTACATTCTGGACAATCACCTAAGATATCAGTAGTAGTAGTCAAGTCACCATCAGAATCGGTAGTAACAATAACAACACCAGTTTCAGTAACTGGGTCACCGTTTTCGTCAGTGGTAGTGATAGTGGTAGTGTACTCAGTACATTCTGGACAATCACCTAAGATATCGGTGGTGGTGGTTAAGTCACCATCAGAATTGGTTGTTACAATAACTACACCGGTTTCGGTAACTGTATCACCGTTTTCATCGGTAGTAGTAATGGTGGTGGTGTAATCAGTACATTCTGGACAAGCACCAACAGATGAGAATTCTTGCGTTGATGAAGAAGATTCGCTTGAGGCAGATGATTCACTAGAAGCTGAAGATTCTTCACTAGAAGCTGAAGATTCTTCACTTGAAGCT